TCCGCTACGGGCACGACACTGAGGGTTGCGATTCATTGCCGGACACGAAAAAAGACAAAAAAAAAAAAAAAACTCATTCAGGGCCGAGCCCATGGCGCACTCGGGAGAGTGCGGCGCTGAGAGCACAGCAGTGCTCCCGCCGCGGGTTCGGATCCTATATAGGGATGACCAGTGCGCTCACAGCACTCACTGGCTGAGCGCAGTGCGGCCGGTCTCAAAAAGGACAAAAAAATAAATAAATAAATAAATAAAAATAAAAAATAAAAACCTCATTCAGCAAAAGATAGCCTTTATCCGACTGTTTTAAAAAAAAGAATTATCTTGCCACAGAGCAGGTTTTAATAAATTTAGAAAGATTGAAGTCATACAAAGTATCTTTTCTGATCAAAATGAAATGAAACTAGAAATCAATAGCAGAAGGAAAACTTAAACATTCACAAATATATGGGAATTTAACAGTATACTCCTAAATCACTCATGGGTCAAAGAAAAAAATCTCAAGAGAAATTAGCAAATATCTTGAGAGAAATGAAAATGAAACCACATCAGAATTTAGGGGATATAGTGAAAGTAGTGCTAAGAGGGAAATTTATAGCTGTAAATGTATTAAAAAAGAAAGATCTCAATTCAACAACCTAACTTTATACCTTAAAACTAGACAAAGAAGAAGAAACTAAATCCAAAGTTAGCAGAAGGAAATAATGAAGATCAGAGTAGAGACAAATAAAAGAAAATAGAAAAACGATAGAGAAAATCAACAAAACCAAGAGTTGGTTCTTCAAAAAGATCAACAAAATTTGCTAACCTTTAGTTAGATTGACTAAGAAAAAAAGAGAGAAGGCTCAATTAAAACAAGAAATGAACAGGGGGACATTACTGCCAATTTGCAGAAATAAAAAGGATTTATAAGAGAGTACTATGAGCAGTTGTGCACCAACAAAATTTCTTAAAACACAAATTACCTAAAGTTGATCAATAAGATATAGAAAATCTCAGCAGACATAGCAAGAAAAGACACTGAATTAGTTATCAGAAATCTCCCAACAAAGAAAAGTTCAGGACCTAATGGCTTCATTGGTGAATATTACCAAACATTTTAAAGAAGAATTAACAGTAGTCCTTCTCAGACTCTTCAAAAAAATCGAAGAGTGAACTCATTCTGTGAGCCTAAGCCAGACAAAGACACTACAAGAAAACTACTGATCAATATCCCTTATGAAGTGATGCAAAAATTGTCAAAATACTAGCAAACTGAACTCAGCTTATTAAAAGGATCACACACTATGACCAAATGAGATTTATTCCTGGAAAGCAAGGATGGTTCAACATATGAAAATCAATCAGTATAATATACCACATTAACAGAATAAAGGAAAAAAAACTACATGATCATATCAATTGACAGAAAAAATTGACATAATTCAACATTCTTTCTTGTTAAAAACACCCAAAAAACTAGAAATAGAAGAAAATTACCTCAACATAACTAAGGTCATATGTGAAAAACCCACAGCTAACATCATAGTCTGGTGAAAGACAGAAAGCTTTTCCTTTAGAATCAGAAACAAGATAAGGATGCCCACTTTTGCCACTGCCATTCAACATAGCAATGAAAGTCCTAGTCAGAGCAATTATGCAAGAAAAATAAGTAAAAAGCATCCAAGTTGGGAAGGAAGAAGTAAAATTATCTGTGTTCACAGTTGACATGATTTTACATGTAGAAAACCCCAAAGATTCCACAAAAGAATTGTCAGAAGTAATAAATGAATTGAGCTGTTGTAGGATATAAAATCAACACTCAAAAATCAGTTCCATTTCTATACACTAACAATGAACAATCAGAAAAGGAAATTAAGAAAACCAGTTCCAGTTACAATAGCATCAAAAAGAATAAAATACCTGTATGGAATAAACTTAACTAAAGGAAACAAAAGGCACTGAAATATACAAAACATTGATAAAAGAAATTAAACACAAGTAAATGGAAGGACATCCCCTATTGATGGATTGGAAGACTTAATATTGTTAACATGTCAGTACTACCCAAGGCAATCTACAGATTCAGTGTCATCCTTATCAAAATCCCACTGACTTTTTTGGTAAAAATAAAAACTTCTATCCTTAAATTCATATGAAATTTCAAGGAATCCTGAATAGGCAATAATCTTGAAAAAGAAGGACAAAGTTGAATTGATTTCAAACATCTTGATTTCAAAACTTACTACAAAGCTACAGCAATCAAAACAGTACTGGCATAAAGATAGACACATAAACCAGTAAAGTGGAATAGAGAGCCTAGAAATAAACTCTTGCATATATAGTCAAATGATTTTCAACAAGAGTGCCAAGACCATCCAATAGGGAAAAGACAGTCTTTTCAACAATTGGTGCTGGGCTAACTGGATATCCACATACAAAAGGTGAAGTAGGATCCTTACCTAACACCATATACAAAAATTAACTTAAAATGGTTAAATACTTAAACATAAGAGCTAAAACTATAAAACTTAAGGGGAAAGTTTCATGAGATTAGAATTGTCAGTGATTTCTTGGGTATGACACCAGAAGCACAGACAAAAAAAAAAGAAAGAAAGAAAAAAGAAATTGGACTGCTTCAAAATTAAAAACTTTACAAAAAATAAAAATTTTAAAAAAGAAATTAAAAAAAGAAAAAAATCAAAATCTTTAGTGTAACAAAGATCAAAATCGACAGAGTGAAAAAGCAGCCTACAGATTGGAAGAAAAAATACAAGAGTACTTCAAAAAGTTCATGGAAAAATAGAATTAAAAGATAATATGAATCTTTCCAGGAACTTTTTGAAGTACTCTCATGTTTACAAATCATATATCTGATAAGGGATTAATAGCCAGAATATACAAAGAAAACTTAAAACACACAGAAACAAACAACCCAATTCAAAAATAGGCAAAAAACTTGAATAGACATGTCTCTGAAGAAGATATATAAATAGCCAATAAGCATGTGAAAAGATGATCAACATTACTAGTCATTAGGGAAATGCAAATCAAAACCACAATAGGATACCACTTCACAACAATTATTATGGCTGTTACCATGCAAACAAACATAAAACAGAAAATACCATTGGTGAGAAAGTAAAATGGTGTAACCCCTAGGGAAAACAGTATGGCAATTCCTCAAAAAATTAAACTTGGAATTACCATATGATCCAGCCATTTCACTTCATAAATATCTCAAAGAATTGAAAGCGAGGACTCGAACAGGTATTTGTATACTGTGTTAACAGCAGCATTTTTCACAATAGCCAAAAGGTAGAAGCAACCCAAATGTCCATTGACAGATGAATGAAAAAGCAAAATGTGGTATATACATACAATACACTCTAATTCAGCCTTGGAAAGGAAGGAAATTCTGACATACGCTACAATATGCACAAACCTTAAAGACATGCTAAGTGAAATAAACCAATCACAGTAGGACAAATACTGTAGGATTCCACTAAGTACCTAGAGTAGTTGGATTTATAGAGACAAGAAGTAGAATGGTACTTGCCAGGGTGGGATGGAAGAATGGGGATTTATTGTTTGACGGGTACAGAGTTTCAGTTTTGTAAGTTGAAAAACATTCAGGAGATGGATGGTGGTGATGGTTGCACATGTGAATGTACTTAATATCACTGAACTATACACTTTAAAATGGTAAATTCTATGTATATTTTACCACAGGAAAAGAAAACAGAAAAAAAAGGAACTTATTTTAATATTAATGATGTGAGGGTTGGCTGGTTAGAGCGTGTGGTGCTGATAACACCAGGCCCAGAGTTTAATCCCTGTACTGGCCATCAGCCACAAAAAGAAAGAAAAAGCAAACAAAAATAAATAATATGGGCCGGCTCGTGGCTCACTCGGGAGAGTGCGGTGCTGATAACACCAAGGCCACAGGTTCGGATCCCATATAGGGATGTCCGGTTTGCTCACTGGGTGAGCGTGGTGCTGACAACACCAAGTCAAGGGTTAATATCCCCTTACCGGTCATCTTTAAAAAAAAAAATATATATATATATATATATATAAATTATGTGGAATGGTTTAATTTCTGGTACTCATACATATCTTTCTGACTTTAATATAAAAATAATTTTAATATGTACATATCTTTTTTGCAGAGTAAAATAAACATTTACAAATATTCTTCCCCTGTCTGGCCAGTTAGCTTGGTTGGTTAGAGTGCAGTGTTATAACACTAAGCTCAAGAGTTCTGATCCCCATACTGGCCAGCTGCAAAAATAAATACACACATACATACATACATACATACGTACATACTTCCCCAGATGTTAATTGGTTTTATAATTGAAAAATACCTGAATATCTATTGTTGAAGAATTGGTGTAATGAATCATGGTATATCCATGCAATGGCTTCAAAGTATAGACTTTGGAGTAATATCAACTGGAATGTAAACCAGACTCCATTGTCTACTACACCTGTGACTGTGGGCAAGGTACTTAACTGCTCCTTGCCTCAGTTAACTCATCTACGAGAGTATCTTATTGAATAAAGGGAGTTAATACATGTGAAGCATTTGGAATAGTGCCTGACATGTTTGAATGTTTAACAAATATTGCTACTATTATTACCATTACTATTACTACTACTACTACTACTATATTATCATCATGATTATTATTACTTAGTACAAAATTTTAAAAGGTGGTAGGATCTGTATGTATTGACATAAAGTATCCATGATATATATTTTTAAAAGTGGGTTAAAAAAAAAAGGTAAGAGTAGGCTACAGAAGAATATGTATAATATAGTTATATTTATTCCTTTTGGAACTATATGGTAGCTTTTATTGCCTTTGTTAGAATACTTTATAGGGAGCCCATATCAGAGCAAAAATATAGTTCCATTTTGAAAAAAATCGCACTCTTGATGATGTTGTATTGTGCCTTTAACATCTGGAAAACAAGCCTTAGGAAAAATCAAAGAATTTGAAAAAAAATATTTCATGTAGCATGTGGAATTTCATTTAGTACAAATTTTATATTAAGATAGTATCTTCAAGGTAAAGCTGTGGTATAAATGTAAAAGCATTAGACTGAGAGCTCATTGATTCTGTAGATAGCTTATATATAAACAAAGTGAAAGTGTAATTTTAAATGTTTTCTTCAAATAGAATTTGTTCTCTTTTGCCTAGCCAATTAATATTGATTGGCATAATAGCTATTTCTTTTGTTAATAACAGACACATACACATATACTGTGTTGCTCATATAGTTTGACAAATTTATCACTAATTTTTTCCCCTTTATTCAGTTTTATTACTACTAAGTATGTTATTTTTATATTTCTTCAGGTTTGGATTATATTAACATTAACTCATTAAAGAGGAAATACTTAGAAATATTCCATTTGATCATATTTCTAACTAAGTGAAGTTTTAATCCATAGGGTAGACTATGTCAATCTCTTGCCATTTCTTTCTCTTAGATAACATTTGCAAAGAGAAGAGAATTAGTTTCTCTTCCTTTAACTGAGTATCTGATTACAATTTTTACCCTACCTATGAGTGTTAGGATGATTGTTAACAGTAGCTTAATCTGTCAACTTCTTCATTGTTGATTAATATAAACTGTCTTTGGGGGCTGAAGATTATTTCAGATTTGTAGAGATGGTGTGGAAGGGAAACAAGGTTTGTGACTAAAACACTAATGGTTATATGAGAAATGGCTACGTTTCGAAGATTTTGTGAATAAATTTTCTTGGCAATTTAGTTAGTATTAAGAGAGTGGTGAAAGAAACAAAATGGCCATCGAAAAGTCAAATGCCAAAGAAGTCTTTAATAGAAATGTTTGCAACCATTGCATTAATGGTTCCATTTGTTTCTCTTTTAATAAAAACACATTCTCTTTCCTTATAGAAGTGTTGAGAATTAAGCACATGATGTTTTGGTATTGCAAAAGCAAGGTCAAGCATTTTCTCTGTCTTAACATTCTTGATTTTCAAACCCTTAGTCGTAGAGATAAAATTGAAAAGTAACATGTCACAGTTATATTGAATGTAGTTTGAATTCATTGGATATGTTTGGCAATGAAGTAATAACTCTTGTTTTCATAAGAAGAAATACTACTATTAGTGTTTAAACCACTATTCTTTTTTTTTTTTAAAAGATGACCGGTAAGGGGATCTTAACCCTTGACTTGGTGTTGTCAGCACCACACTCAGCCAGTGAGCGAACCGGCCATCCCTATGTGGGATCCGAACCCGGGGCCTTGGTGTTATCAGCACCGCACTCTACCGAGTGAGCCACGGGCCGGCCCTAAACCACTATTCTTTAAAACCATTTTCCTTAAAAATTCAATAAGAATGCATCAAATTAATTCTTAAAGGAAATAAATCAGAATGTAGGACAAGTGATACTTCATTTTACAAATCCTTTATAATGGGCATGTAGTGAGGGGGAAAAAAGGATGTTATAAGAAAGTTTTCATGGTGGCTAAAACCTTTTGACAAGGAAAAATATATTATAAAAAAATTTTTTTTGTAAAGTTTTGACTATTTTTATAGGACTGACTGCTGATGCTAGAGTAGTAATAAACAGAGCCCGTGTGGAGTGCCAGAGCCATAAGCTTACAGTTGAGGACCCAGTCACTGTAGAATATATAACTCGCTTCATAGCAACTTTAAAGCAGGTAAGCTAATATTCTAACAGATTTCTTTATCTCCTTTTCCATCATTATGGGCCTATCATAGAAATACTACAATCACTCCAACCATTTAGCCTATTAAATCTATTAAATTCCTTATTCTTTCTCACACTTATTTCGTACTCACACTCTTATTACAGTAGAGTGAATTGATTTAATCACTAGAAATCTCAATCAGTATCAGCTCTGGGAATTATATTAAAATTTAAAAGCACAATAAATCTAATCTTTCAAAGGGATTTTTACACCTCTGTGGAAATGTAGAAAGAACCATTCTTTTTTTTTTTTTGTCTTTTTCCGTGTCCGGCAACAGATCGCAACCCTCTGTGTCGCCCCCGTACCGGACCGGGACCGGCAACGGGATCGCAACCCTCGGCGTTGCTCCCGCACCTCGCTCAGCCAGTGAGCGGGAACCGGTCTGTATGTGGGATCCAAACCCTCGGCGGGAGCGCCACCGCGCTTCCCAAGCGGCGCACTATAGCAGTGCGCCACCGGGCCGGCCCAGAAAGAACCATTCTTTAAAGTTTTCCAAAGAAATACCCATTATTCTTTTACCTACAAACCTTTTTTTTTTTTTTTTTAAAGATGACTGGTAAGGGGATCTTAACCCTTGACTTGGTGTTGTCAGCACCACGCTCAGCCAGTGAGCGAACCAGCCATCCCTATGTGGGATCCGAACCCGGGGCCTTGGTGTTATCAGCACCGCACTCTCCCGAGTGAGCCATGGGCCGGCCCCAACCTACAAACCTTCTATGGTTTGAATGTGTCCCCCAAAAAGCATGTGTCAGAAACTTAATCCCCAGTGCAACAGTGTTGAGAGATGGGTTCTAATTGAAAGTGTTTATGTAATGAGGGTTCCACCCTCGTGAATGGATTAAGGCCAGATTATGAAAGGGCTTGAGGCTGCAAATTCAGTCTCTTGCTGTCTCTTGCTTGAGCTGTCCTGCCGTGTGTAGCATGAAGGTCCTGGCGAGATGTGGGCCCCTCAATTATGGACTTCCCAGCCTCCAGAACTCTGTTCTTTATTAATTACCCAATCTCAGGTATTCTGTTATAGCAGCACAAAACAGACTAAGACAAAACTTAAACACAACTGATCAGGTTTAGATATGGTTTCTGGGCGGGCTGGTTAGCTCAGTTGGTTAGAGCTCAGCTTTGTAACACAAAGATCACAGGTTCAGATCCCCATACTGGCCAGCTGCCAAAAAAAAAAAAAAAAAGAAAGAAAGAAAAAGAAAAAGTCTATTAAAAAAGAAAAAGGTATGATTGCTTCCAAATCTATTCATAAATACATGGCTTAACATGAAGTATAAGCATGATATATTCAAATACAGTATTATTTTTTTACTTATTTTGTGTGTACTTTATATATAGCAACATCATCCTTATCATTCTTACTAACGATAAGATTATAATACTGTTTCTAGTTGCTGATAATTTAGTTACATTGTCTCATTTCTTTATTCTCCTCCCCTCTCCTTCCTCTCCCCCTACCTCTCCCTCTCTCTCCCCATCGTCCTCCTCCCCAAAAACATTACTCTTTTTGTCACAGCTTTCATTTTTCTATTTTGAATTAGATTGTTAAATTAATTTTTAGTATAGGATTACTAGATTAGAGATTGTAATTAGTTTTAAGACTCTTGTTATGTGTAGCTAAATTGCTTGCCAGAAATATTGAACCAATTTTTATTGTGCAACTAGCAATGCATAAATGTATCCCGGAAGAATCATCAACTTTGGGTTTTTCATTTTTCTTTGATTTTGCAAATAAGTATCACATAGTACTGTAATAGTTGTTTTAATTTGTGTTTTATAATTAGCAGTGAGGTTGAATTTTTTTCCTCATGTTGGTTTATCTCATTTCTCCTAGTGTAAACTATCTTTACTTTTGACAGGAATTCAAGTGATTAAGAGTGTTCCTGTAGGAGCCAGAATTTGGGGGTTTGAATCCTGGCTTTGCTACTTCTTAGTGCCTTTGGCACTATTTAGCCTACTTTTGCTCCAATTTTCTTTTTTATAAGATGAGCATTATAATAATACCTACTTTGTTGAGCTGCATGATGGGTTAAATGATTCAATACATTTCAGACATTTAGGATACTTTCTGGCATGGATTTAACCAATTGTCCATGTTACAGATTTTTTATAAACTCTATATATTCTAAATATTAAAGTTGTAACTGATTGGCTTATAACAAAATTGCCCTATTTTGGTTTTTATAGTTTGTTCAAGAAAGTTCAACATTTTTATGTTATTCTACTTTTCTATTTTATTTGCTTTGATTTTCCCAGTTAAAAGGTACTCACCAAAAAAAGGAGACAACATCATATATACAAGGTTTCCAATTGGGATTTTTTGGTTTTCTTCTAGAAATATGAAGGCTATGCATAGAATATTTATGGAAACATAAATCTGTAACAGTGGAATTGCCACTGGGGAGGCCTGGGGCTCTGGGGCAAAATATAGATATCTCATATGTACCTTTTGTACTTCTAAATTATTTTAACCCTGTGCATGTATTACTTTTTCATATGTTCTGTTTTATTGATTTTTTATGCAATTTATGTTGCTAAACTTAGATATTTAATTTCTGTTCTTGATTTCTTCTTCTTCTTCTTCTTCTTCTTTTTTTTTTGTCCTTTTTGAGACCGGCCGCACCGCGCTCAGCCAGTGAGCGCTGTGAGTGCACTGGCCATCCCTATATAGGATCCGAACCCACGGCGGGAGCGCTACTGCGCTCCCAGCGCCACACTCTCCTGAGTGAGCCACGGGGTTGGCCCTTGATTTCTTATTATTAAATGGACTTGATTTGCTTAAAAATTAATTTGCCTTTGAGAAGTTTATTCATCTTCCTCTGAAATTAATTTGATATTTGCATGCTTTTGGAAGACTTAAGAGAGCTATATCAAATAATTGTAGAGATTATAAAATGAAATGTATAAACTTTAATGTTTTACATCTCCAGTTTTTGTGAAAATTTGAAGCCCTACTTCCTACAGAGTATTATGTTATTCATCTGTTATTTAGTTTATGTATTTGTTATTTGAACAAATAAATGCATATCCTTTTAAAAAAACAATAAATATTTGCTAAATAAATGAAGAAGTAAATATGGGTAAATAAATAAATAAATAAAATAAAGTGAAAGGACTTGGAATCACAGAAAAACAAAATCAGAAAACATGGTTGATTAAGCAAATAAAGCAAAAGTGTCTCTCCTCTAAGGCATAGTTACAAAGCATCTACTCCATACCTAGGTATGACCTAGGAGCATTAGAAAGTGCAAAAGAATTAAGACATAAACCCTATTCTTTAGGAGTTTATTTATGTTCATAGCCCAACTATTTGCATTCAAAATTTCAGGTGGGTTTTTTAAATACATATAATTAAATTGAAAAATAAAAAAATAGATCTGATACATAAATAAGACCAAAAAGAAAGGTAGTATAAAGCTATTTCAAGCCAGTTATATACCATGTTGTGTACAGCCACAGGGTTATATGCGCTTATGTAAAGTTGCCTGTCAAGGCTGCCTCTTTAAATGACTTCTAGGGACTCCAGTCTCAGTGTGAATTCCACTCCTTGGTGCACAAATCCAGGAAGTTCCCTAGCACTAAAATAAAAAGAAATACAATTGGTTTCCAGTGCTCCATTGTCTGTTAAGGAAAAACATACTTTTTCTTCAAGAGATACAAAGGTTTCCTTGTCTTGGGACTGAAAGAATTGTCTTACTTGGGTTATTAAGGAGAGATAATTTGTTATATAATGAACAGAATGTACTGGATAATAACAGTATCAAGTAAGGATTCTTGATAATAATAGTAGTCATTATAGTGTTCCTCAAAGTAAACTAAGGACATGCTTCTAAAGTATAGCACATTGAAATCAGCTTTACTGAGAACCAAAATGGCATGGCATAAATACACTTCTCTCCTGTTAAAGAGATTACAATCTAGATATGTTACCAAAATGTACACAAAGCAAAAAGAAAACAATTTTAAAATCATATATAATAAAAACGAATGAAATACTGCCATTTGCAACAACATGGATGGACCTAGAGAGAATTATTTTAAGTGAAACAAGTCAGGCACAGAAAGAGAAATACCATATGTTCTCACTTATTAGTGGGAGCTAAAAATAAATAAATAAATTCACACACACACACACACACAAAAAAAAAAAAAAAAAAAA